CCCTGACTGAGAGGGACCCAAACAAGACCCTGACTGAGAGGGACCCAAACCAGACCCTGACTGAGAGGGACCCAAACCAGACCCTGACTGAGAGGGACCCAAACAAGACCCTGACTGAGAGGGACCCAAACCAGACCCTGACTGAGAGGGACCCAAACAAGACCCTGACTGAGAGGTCTGAGAGCAGGAGGTCTGAGAGCAGGAGGTCTGAGAGCTGGAGGTCTGAGAGCAGGAGGTCTGAGAGCAGGAGGTCTGAGAGCAGGAGGTCTGAGAGGTCTGAGAGCAGGAGGTCTGAGACTGAGACTCGTCTCTGCACACTTCATAACGCAGCGTTGTTTGGCGTGCTGGTCATGACCTCAGTATTCCAGTCCTTTCAGAAAGTCCTGAAGCAGCACACACTTCTTTCTCAGAGGTGAGACGCCAACAATGGCGAGCTGTGTGAATGTAGAGCAGGATGAAATCCTCGGGGGGGGGGGGGGGGGCTTTACATTCTGTTCATACCTGCCCGGTCTCAGCTGGTCCAGACGTGGATCAGTGTCTGTGTGGGTCATTGTTGCGTTGTCATGACAACCGTCCTCTGTGTTCAGTCAGCTGAGTCCCTACGTAACGTGATGACTTAGAGGCTGACAGACGAGTGTTTGTACGGCGAGGTTAACGGGCGAGGTGTGACCCCCGTTAGCCGGTCATCACTAACTAATCAATGACTGTTTGCACATCACTCTGCGAGGTCTGTTCAGACGCCGCACGCCGCACGCCGCACGCCTCGAGCTGGACTGTCACTTCTTCTTTTCTTTGTCTGTTTCTTTCTGCTGTTCAGCTCTTTGGATCAACTATGATTAAAGTATAAATAAAGTTAAATAATTTATAATGGTCCATGAGGACCTTCAGAACCTCTGGTCCCCCCCCCCCCCCACGGCCCCCTACACACTGTGTACAAGGGTACGGGGGTTAATAAATAACTTCCACCAGTCAGGACGTCTCCGCCTGTGGATGACATGTTGTTTTGATGTCTCCTCTGACTTCCTGTGTTGGTTGAAATCAGATCGCTGGTTTACATAACAACACTCAGATAGTATCACCTCTCTGTAAGCTGCTTACACTCTGATGAACAACATCATCAGCTGGATGCTCAAAGTACAGATCTACACGTCACAGATCTACAGCTCAGATCTACAGCTCAGATCTACACGTCACAGATCTACAGCTCAGATCTACAGCTCAGATCTACACGTCACAGATCTACAGCTCAGATCTACACGTCACAGATCTACAGCTCAGATCTACAGCTCAGATCTACAGCTCAGATCTACACGTCACAGATCTACAGCTCAGATCTACAGCTCAGATCTACACGTCACAGATCTACAGCTCAGATCTACACGTCACAGATCTACAGCTCAGATCTACACATCATAGATCTACAGCTCAGATCTACACGTCACAGATCTACAGCTCAGATCTACACGTCACAGATCTACAGCTCAGATCTACACGTCACAGATCTACAGCTCAGATCTACAGCTCAGATCTACAGCTCAGATCTACACGTCACAGATCTACAGCTCAGATCTACAGCTCAGATCTACACGTCACAGATCTACAGCTCAGATCTACACGTCACAGATCTACAGCTCAGATCTACAGCTCAGATCTACACATCACAGATCTACAGCTCAGATCTACACATCACAGATCTACAGCTCAGATCTACACGTCACAGATCTACAGCTCAGATCTACAGCTCAGATCTACACGTCACAGATCTACAGCTCAGATCTACACGTCACAGATCTACAGCTCAGATCTACAGCTCAGATCTACACATCACAGATCTACAGCTCAGATCTACACGTCACAGATCTACAGCTCAGATCTACACATCATAGATCTACAGCTCAGATCTACACGTCACAGATCTACAGCTCAGATCTACACGTCACAGATCTACAGCTCAGATCTACAGGTCACAGATCTACAGCTCAGATCTACAGCTCAGATCTACACGTCACAGATCTACACGTCACAGATCTACAGCTCAGATCTACACGTCACAGATCTACACGTCACAGATCTACAGCTCAGATCTACACGTCACAGATCTACAGCTCAGATCTACACGTCACAGATCTACAGCTCAGATCTACAGCTCAGATCTACAGCTCAGATCTACACGTCACAGATCTACAGCTCAGATCTACACGTCACAGATCTACAGCTCAGATCTACACGTCACAGATCTACAGCTCAGATCTACACGTCACAGATCTACACGTCACAGATCTACAGCTCAGATCTACACGTCATAGATCTACACATCATAGATCTACACGTCACAGATCTACAGCTCAGATCTACACGTCACAGATCTACAGCTCAGATCTACACATCATAGATCTACACATCATAGATCTACACGTCACAGATCTACAGCTCAGATCTACACATCATAGATCTACACGTCACAGATCTACAGCTCAGATCTACACAACATAGATCTACACAACATAGATCTACACATCATAGATCTACACGTCACAGATCTACAGCTCAGATCTACACATCATAGATCTACATGTCACAGATCTACAGCTCAGATCTACACGTCACAGATCTACAGCTCAGATCTACACGTCACAGATCTACAGCTCAGATCTACACGTCACAGATCTACAGCTCAGATCTATACATCATAGATCTACACATCATAGATCTACACGTCACAGATCTACAGCTCAGATCTACACGTCACAGATCTACAGCTCAGATCTACACATCATAGATCTACACATCATAGATCTACACGTCACAGATCTACAGCTCAGATCTACACGTCACAGATCTACAGCTCAGATCTACACATCATAGATCTACACATCATAGATCTACACGTCACAGATCTACAGCTCAGATCTACACATCATAGATCTACACGTCACAGATCTACAGCTCAGATCTACACAACATAGATCTACACAACATAGATCTACACATCATAGATCTACACGTCACAGATCTACAGCTCAGATCTACACATCATAGATCTACATGTCACAGATCTACAGCTCAGATCTACACGTCACAGATCTACAGCTCAGATCTACACGTCACAGATCTACAGCTCAGATCTACACGTCACAGATCTACAGCTCAGATCTACACGTCACAGATCTACAGCTCAGATCTACACATCATAGATCTACAGCTCAGATCTACACGTCACAGATCTACAGCTCAGATCTACACGTCATAGATCTACACAACATAGATCTACACATCATAGATCTACATGTCACAGATCTACAGCTCAGATCTACATGTCACAGATCTACAGCTCAGATCTACACATCATAGATCTACAGCTCAGATCTACACGTCACAGATCTACAGCTCAGATCTACACATCATACATCTACACAACATAGATCTACACAACATAGATCTACACGTCACAGATCTACAGCTCAGATCTACACATCATAGATCTACATGTCACAGATCTACACATGTCAGATCTACACGTCACAGATCTACAGCTCAGATCTACAGCTCAGATCTACAGCTCAGATCTACACGTCACAGATCTACACATCATAGATCTACACATCACAGATCTACACATCATAGATCTACACGTCACAGATCTACAGCTCAGATCTACACATCATAGATCTACACATCATAGATCTACACGTCACAGATCTACAGCTCAGATCTACACGTCACAGATCTACAGCTCAGATCTACACATCATAGATCTACACATCATAGATCTACACGTCACAGATCTACAGCTCAGATCTACACGTCACAGATCTACAGCTCAGATCTACACATCATAGATCTACACATCATAGATCTACACGTCACAGATCTACAGCTCAGATCTACACATCATAGATCTACACGTCACAGATCTACAGCTCAGATCTACACAACATAGATCTACACAACATAGATCTACACATCATAGATCTACACGTCACAGATCTACAGCTCAGATCTACACATCATAGATCTACATGTCACAGATCTACAGCTCAGATCTACACGTCACAGATCTACAGCTCAGATCTACACGTCACAGATCTACAGCTCAGATCTACACGTCACAGATCTACAGCTCAGATCTACACATCATAGATCTACACATCATAGATCTACACGTCACAGATCTACAGCTCAGATCTACACGTCACAGATCTACAGCTCAGATCTACACGTCATAGATCTACACAACATAGATCTACACATCATAGATCTACACGTCACAGATCTACAGCTCAGATCTACACATCATAGATCTACAGCTCAGATCTACACGTCACAGATCTACAGCTCAGATCTACACATCATACATCTACACAACATAGATCTACACAACATAGATCTACACGTCACAGATCTACAGCTCAGATCTACACATCATAGATCTACATGTCACAGATCTACACATCATAGATCTACACGTCACAGATCTACAGAGAGAGAGAGAGGAGTGGCAGAGTGAGTACACCCCTCTGCTCCTGCAGGGGGCGCTGATGTCGCTGCATATCAGAGATCAAATGAGCCGACAGCGATCGTCCCTGGATACGATATATCGGCTGGACGACTCATCGGTCGGGATCTTAAACGGTCACGGCGTGGAGGAGTCTGAACGCCATTTTTGATCATTGAAAACAAGAAATATCCCAAACTGGGAAATAAGCCGATCCTTGAAAACAGGAAGTCATGAACACATTGGTAATGTCCCATTACAGGGTGCAGGATGGCCTAGTGGTGATGACGTGCGCCCCATGTACAGCGGATACTGTCCTCATTGCAGCGGGACGCGGGTTCAAATCTGACCTCGGCCGTTTGATGCATGTCAGGTCAAGTCGTGAACGCTGTCTTCATTGCACAAAAAGATTGAAGAATGAATTGTTTAAAAATTGTCAAAGTTTTGTTTTTGAAACATTGAGAGAGCGATCAGCTGATTGGCTGCTTCAATGAAAACAAGAAAATATTTACAGAAATGAATAAACATCAAAATCTGCAGGAAGTCGTGAACAATAAAACTGCACAAAAACATCATCAACTCTTCTACACGAGTATGAGGGACAAAAAATGACTAAAGTATAAATAAATAAATAAATGTTGGGAGAAATGCATACAATAATGTATAAAGAAATTAATAATTAAATAAATGCATCAATAAATAAATATATATAAATACATTCATATATTTATTTATGTATTTCTGTGTCCATGTTGTACAAGGAAAAGTAAATATGTAAATTAAGTGGGCCGCTCTAACATTACTGAAGTAGGATTGGTCAATTTTGAAAAACAGACAGAAGCAAATTTACATAAATACTTTTCCTCTTACGACCTGGACACAGAAATAAATAGATGTGTAAATGTAAAAATACGGAAATAAATTAATAACTCAGTTAATGTGGAAATGTATGTATTGATACATATATAACTGTAGAAATACACTAATAAATGAATAAATACATGTAAAAATATATAAATAGCCTTTTTCATTATCAAAGTGTATTTATTATTTATTCATTGATGTATTGTTTTCAGCATTTGAATATTTATCGATGCATTTAGATATTTATTTATATATTTATACATTATAGTATATATTTCTCCCAACATTTATTTATTTATTCATTTATTTATTGATACTTTAGTCATTTTTTGTCCCTCACACGAGAGGATAGAGTCCGTTAAAACACTGAAAACATCACCTGAAAACATCACCTGAAAACATCACCTGAAAACATCACCTGATAACATCACCTGAAAACATCACCTGAAAACATCACCTGAAAACATCACCTGAAAACATCACCTGAAAACATCACCTGAAAACATCACCTGAAAACATCACCTGAAAACATCACCTGATAACAGTCTACATGACACACAGACTCAGAACAAGAGCAAGAAATCAAATGACAGGAAGTGAAAACCATCAGAAACGTTTTGTTCTGAGAGGATCGAGACCTGAACACGAGTCTGTGTGCAAAGAGACAAAGTGGAGTTTACCTGCAGAATAAGAAAAGAGAGAGAAGACAGATGTGTGCCAGCAGCTGGCGGTGTGTGTGTGTGTGTGTGTGTGTGTGTGTGTCGCACCTCCTCCTCCGCGCTCGCTCTGTTGCCGACGTGGGCCATGTCTGATCCCGGTGCCTGTCCTTCCTCCTCTATCAGGACCACCACAGTCTCATGTCTGTGCTCCGACCAGCTGCGCGCAAACAGATGTTCAACGGTTACTTCCGGGTTTATAAGCGTCGGGTTGAGACCCCGGTTCGTCCTTCTGTCGGTTGATCCAGCAGGATTCTGGAGACACCGATCCTCCGCTCTCTTCTTCCTGAACAGACAGTCAGTGAAAACACACCTCCCGTGTTTCCTGTCCCCGCCCACCGACAGAGAGCAGCTGTGCTCGTCCAATCAGAGCACGACTTCACCTGGTCTACACACAGACTGAGGAGGCGTTTCCAGATGTTTCATTTTATTTTATTAATCTAATTCAACCAATAAAAACACAGCTCACACTCCAGGTGTGAAGGTCCTTTTAATTCCAATGAGTTTCTTCTTCTTCACCTGAAAACACCTGATAACTTTAAGAGATTCATCATTAATAGAATGTAATAAAGTTTATATATTCAAATAACTTTATGATCAAACCCCACCTGACTGTCCCCGTGTGGCTTTATAAATAAAGTTTGATTCAAACCCCACCTGACTGTCCCCGTGTGGCTTTATAAATAAAGTTTGATTCAAACCCCCACCTGACTGTCCCCGTGTGGCTTTATAAATAAAGTTTGATTCAAACCCCACCTGACTGTCCCCGTGTGGCTTTATAAATAAAGTTTGATTCAAACCCCACCTGACTGTCCCCTGTGTGACTTTATAAATAAAGTTTGATTCAAACCCCACCTGACTGTCCCGTGTGCTTTATAAATAAAGTTTGATTCAAACCTCCACCTGACTGTCCCGTGTGGCTTTATGAATAAAGTTTGATTCAAACCCCACCTGACTGTCCCGTGTGGCTTTATAAATAAAGTTTGATTCAAACCCACCTGACTGTCCCGTGTGGCTTTATAAATAAAGTTTGATTCAAACCCCCACCTGACTGTCCCCGTGTGACTTTATAAATAAAGTTTGATTCAAACCCCACCTGACTGTCCCTGTGTGACTTTATAAATAAAGTTCGATTCAAACCTCCACCTGACTGTCCACGTGTGGCTTTATAAAGTTTGATTCAAACCCCCACCTGACTGTCCCCGTGTGGCTTATAAATAAAGTTTGATTCAAACCCTACCTGACTGTCCACGTGTGGCTTTATAAATAAAGTTTTATTCAAACCCTACCTGACTGTCCACGTGTGGCTTTATAAATAAAGTTTGATTCAAACCCCACCTGACTGTCCCTGTGTGACTTTATAAATAAAGTTTGATTCAAACCTCCACCTGACTGTCCCCGTGTGGCTTTATAAATAAAGTTTGATTCAAACCTCCACCTGACTGTCCCCGTGTGGCTTTATAAATAAAGTTTGATTCAAACCCCCACCTGACTGTCCCTGTGTGGTTTCATAAAGTTTGATTCAAACCCCACCTGACTGTCCACATGTGGCTTTATAAATAAAGTTTGATTCAAACCCCCACCTGACTGTCCACGTGTGTTTCATAAAGTTTGATTCAAACCCCACCTGACTGTCCACATGTGGCTTTATAAATAAAGTTTGATTCAAACCCCCACCTGACTGTCCACGTGTGGTTTCATAAAGTTTGATTCAAACCCCACCTGACTGTCCACATGTGGCTTTATAAATAAAGTTTGATTCAAACCTCCACCTGACTGTCCCCGTGTGGCTTTATAAATAAAGTTTGATTCAAACCCCCACCTGACTGTCCCCGTGTGGCTTTATAAATAAAGTTTGATTCAAACCCCCACCTGACTGTCCCCGTGTGGCTTTAAGAATAAAGTTTGATTCAAACCCTACCTGACTGTCCCCGTGTGGCTTTATAAATAAAGTTTGATTCAAACCCTACCTGACTGTCCCCGTGTGGCTTTAAGAATAAAGTTTGATTCAAACCCCCACCTGACTGTCCCCGTGTGGCTTTATAAATAAAGTTTGATTCAAACCCCACCTGACTGTCCCCGTGTGGCTTTAAGAATAAAGTTTGATTCAAACCCCCACCTGACTGTCCACATGTGGCTTTATAAATAAAGCTTGATTCAAACCCCACCTGACTGTCCCCGTGTGACTTTATAAATAAAGTTTAATTCAAACCTCCACCTGACTGTCCCCGTGTGGCTTTATAAATAAAGTTTGATTCAAACCCCCACCGTGTGGCTTTATAAATAAAGTTTGATTCAAACCCCACCTGACTGTCCCCGTGTGGCTTTATAAATAAAGTTTGATTCAAACCCCCACCTGACTGTCCCCGTGTGACTTTATAAATAAAGCTTGATTCAAACCCCCACCTGACTGTCCACGTGTGGCTTTATAAATAAAGTTTGATTCAAACCCCCACCGTGTGGCTTTATAAATAAAGTTTGATTCAAACCCCCACCTGACTGTCCCCGTGTGGCTTTATGAATAAAGTTTGATTCAAACCCACCTGACTGTCCCGTGTGGCTTTATAAATAAAGTTTGATTCAAACCCCACCTGACTGTCCCGTGTGCTTTATAAATAAAGTTTGATTCAAACCCCACCTGACTGTCCACGTGTGGCTTTATAAATAAAGCTTGATTCAAACCCCACCTGACTGTCCACGTGTGGCTTTATAAATAAAGCTTGATTCAAACCCCACCTGACTGTCCCCGTGTGGCTTTATAAATAAAGGTTTCTTTCTTTAAGGTAAAATACATCAGTTTGGCGTGCAGATGACCACGATGGCGAGCGTTGAGTGAAAGAAGGAGGAGTCACGTGACGTTTTGAAAACACTTTAAAACATATTTACATCACAGACTTTTAGAAAACATCAAACTTTAAAAAAAAAGATTTAAAAACATTTCACGCAGAAAACGACTTCCTGTCACGTTTAAACGTGACGTGTTCTCGTCTTTGAGGCGACTTAATGTTCACGCTTTAAAGCTGCTTCTTAAATATCTTTCGTACAACAAAGACGTCCGCGTCAGATCAACTCAGCGATGTGCAACAAAGAAAACAACAAACAGGAAGTGAAGATTCTGTAACGCCTCGCCAGAACAAACCGTGCTCAAAAGAACCATCGCTGAAACGCCTTTAAGAAGCGAGGTCACCTTCTTAAAGGTACAGTACGCCCAAAGGGATTGAAAGGCTCCCGTTAGCTTTCAGCTCTTTGTGTTTCTAGATTTCGGCCTTTATAAAAAATGTCGTAAAGACGATAAAGTTTGGAAGCAAAGTTTCAGGATCAGAGTTAGCTAAAGATAGCTTAGCATAAAAGACAGGTAATGGTCATAAAGGTGGCGTTGGTGATTAATGCTCGTGTGAACGAAGGTAATGCAATAAGTGAGAAATAATGTTGATGTGGTGAAGTGGTGACTTCAACGACAAACAGGCGTTCAGACTTCACCTGCGCAGGTGAGACGACGCGCTCACTCGGCTTTAGTTTATAAATAACCGGCGCTGTTCAGGCAGGACGAGGTAAACGTGTTGGTGGAAGTTCTCATTGTTCTCATGGAGGCGGGGCTTTGTTTCAAGGCCACACCCCCTCAGATTAGAGTTGGTTCAGTCCAAACTGCTCCAGAAACTTCAGGAAGATTCCACTGGAGCTGCGAAGGGGGGGGGGGGGACATGAAACCAATAAAATAAACAAACGGCCAACAACAACAACAACAACAACAACAACAACAACAACAACAATCTAAACCTGATTAAATCCTCATTTTTATTTTACAGTCAGTCTGTGATTCTCTGTTTAAACTTTAAAGGTCTCATATTTAAAATCCTCTTCTCCATGTGTCTCTAGTCTACAAACCCCCCAATGATGAGAAAAGTCCATCCTCTCCGTCTTCTGCCTGCTCCACTTTTCAGAAAATGTGTGCTCAAACAGGCCGTTTGGAGATTTTCCCTTCATGACATCACAAAGGGCAGTAGCCCCTCCCCCAGGTGGGTGACACTCCCACAGCTAGGTGTTTGTTCTGCCCTCTGAGTCTGCCTTCTCACCGTAAACAATAGGACATGGAGCGAGACCGAGTACACCCAAGCCCTTCCAGAGAGGGGGCGTGGTCAGAAACAGCTCATTTACATATTTAAAGCTACAGACACAGAAACAGCCTGTTCTGAGCAGGGCTGAAATAGAGGGGTTTATAGACATGATCAAATACAGGATCAGAGTGGATTCAGAACAAGAGACTTCACACACATGTTAAGAGGAGCTCTGAGACTTATTTACACTAGAAGAAGAGGAGGATATGTGACCTTTAAATCCAATTATTAAAAGATTTTCTCCACATAAAGTATTTCCTGTATTTTGATTCCATTTGAATTAATTAGTCAAATAAAGTGAATGTGTGTTTTTACCTTCAGTTTTCTCCTCCTCCGTCGGTCCCCCCCCTCTCCTCCCTCTCCTCCCTCATCATCCTCTCCCTGCAGCCCTCGGCCCGCTCAGCCTCCTCCCTCTCCTTCTCCTCCAGCAGGGAGCGCAGGAAGGTGGCGCTCACCATCTCCTCCCCTCCCCAGCAGGTAGGCGTTCTTGAAGCGGTTGTAGAGCATGGACGCCTTGTCCATGATGGCCTGGTTGGCTCTGTAGCAGCGCAGCTTTAAAAACACACGTTGAGATTCAGCTGTCTGACTCGTCAGCAGATATGTACCTGACATGTTCACCTGTTCACCTGTTCTCACCTTTCTCAGAGTGGAGATGAGCTCGCTGTGTCGCTTCACGTGTTTGGACGTCACATAAACCATACTGAGCTGATCCAACGCCATCAGACACTTCCCGATGTCCTGAAAGAGATAGATGAAAGCTGATTTTACAGGCTGACAGTAAGTCAGATTCTCTTAAAGGTGCAGTACGTAAACTCCACCACCAGGGGGCTCTCTATCAGAACAATAACAAAAGATGACGTCAGCGGGGAATCATGGGAGTGATTCTCTCTGCTCTCTCTGATTCTCAGGACAGGTCGTTCTATCTCTCTTCAGAATGAACGCAGACCGCAGCGAGCACAAGATGGAAACGTCATCACGCCCCTCCCCTTCCCGCTCGCTCGCTAACTGTGAATTCTTCTGTGGTGTTCTCGACCCGACGCCACGCAGGAACGTGACCTCGGAGCGAGCAGGAAGGAGTCTGCTAAACGCTTCAGTGTGTGGCGGTAAAACGGGCTCGTGGTCGTGTGACCCCGTGTTTACAGAAAAGCAGCGAGCTGTATAAACGAGTCTTACGGGGTCTTCTCGTCCGTTCTCTCGCTCCGCTCCTCCTTCTTCTTCTCTCTCTTGTCGTCCGTTTCTCGCTCTTAGCTTCGTTCTTCTTCTCTTGGGATTTCTCGTAGCTGTTTGCACCGCCTCGTCTTCGCTTTCTTCTGTTTCTCCTTCCTGTCTTTTTTCTCGTCTGTAGCGCTCTCGTTCTTTCAGACTTCCTCTCCACTTCGGCGCTCTTTTTCCACTTTTTGATCGTCAGTTTCTTGAACTCTTTTTCTTTTCTCCTCCTCTTTCTTCTTCTTCTCCAGCTCCGCCACGGGCGCCGTCATCGCTCCTCCCATCATCGTCTTCACCTGAATCTTCGCTCCTGTCCGCCGGCTTTCACGATCTTCCCGATGATTTTTCTCTCGTCTTTCTGCGTCTTGGTTTCCTCGCTCCTCCCGTCCGTTCTGCTCTCGTCGTCTTTCTTCGGCCCGCTCTCCGTTTCTTTGGTCGTGACGTCGTCGGTCGTCTTCTCGCCGTCTTTCTTCTTCTCTGTTTTCAGGCTGGGATCTTCACTTCCTCTTTCTGCCTCTCCTCCGTCGTGGATTCTTTTCCCTTTCTTTTTTGTTTCCGGTTCTCTTGCTGGTCGACTCTTTGACGGTCGTCTTCTGACTTCTGTTTCTCCTCCTCGCTGCGTCGCCGCTCGCTCCTGAAAGAGATGAGAGAATGTAACGACTCTTCAGAACGAACAGAAAGGTGTTTGTTAGAGAGTGACTTACTGCGAGCTCTTCATCGCCTCCCTCCTCCTCACTCCTCTCCAGACTTCATCAAACCTCTCAGAGACTTTAACAAACTCTCTCTCCTGGACGCCAAGCGGAGCTGTCGCTGCAGAGAAAACATTTTCAATGAGAGAAGACGTCAGAGGATCCACATCGATCTCCTGTTCATTCTAAAAAAAGAGTTTAACCTCCTCGTTCACTGAGCTGCTCTTCTTCTTCTCTTCTTCTTCCTCAGGACCATCCTTTCTCTTCTTCTTCTCTTCCTCTCTCTCTGCTCCTCTCATCTTAGTCCTTCCACTCTCTCGTCTCTTGTCCTCCTCTGTCTTCCTCTTTTCTCGGCTTTCCTCCTTCTTTCCTTCCTCAGCTGTCTCCTTTGTCTCCTTGTCTTTCTCTGCTCTCCTCGTCTTCCTCGCCTCTCTCTCGCTGGTTCTCTCCTCTGTCTTCTTCTCCTTCATCTCCTTCTTTCCTTCCTCAGCTGCATCCTTTGTCTTCTCCTTCATCTCCTTCTTTCCTTCCTCAGCTGCATCCTTTGTCTTCTCCTTCATCTCCTTCTTTCCTTCCTCAGCTGCATCCTTTGTCTCCTTGTCTTTCTCTGCTCTCCTTGTCTTCCTCGCCTCTCTCTCACTGGTTCTCTCCTCTGTCTTCTTCTCCTTCATCTCCTTCTTTCCTTCCTCAGTTGCATCCTTTGTCTTCTCCTTTATCTCCTTCTTTCCTTCCTCAGCTGCATCCTTTGCTCTCCTCGTCTTCCTCCTCTCACTCTCCTCCTCCTCCTCCTCCTCCGTCGTCTTCTTCTGCTCTCCTCGGCTCTTTGTCGTCACCTCTGTAACTCCCGTCTTTGTTTCTCTCCTCGTTGTTCTTCCCTCACTGTCTGACCGTGTTTCTCTCCTCGTCCTCTCCTCCTTCTTTCCTTCCTCAGTTGTCTCCTCCTTCTTTCCTTCCTCAGCTGTCTCCTTTGTCTTCTTCTTCTCTTCCTCTGCTCTCCTCGTCTTCCTCACCTCTTTCTCGCTGGTTCTCTCCTCCTCTGTTGTCTTCTCCTTCATCTCCTTCTTTCCTTCCTCAGCTGCATCCTTTGTCTTCTCCTTCTTTCCTTCCTCAGCTGCATCCTTTGTCTTCTCCTTCTTTCCTTCCTCAGCTGTCTCCTTGTCTTTCTCTGCTCTCCTCGTCTTCCTCCCCTCTCTCTCGCTGGTCCTCTCCTCAACTGTTGTCTTCTCCTTCATCTCTTTCTTTCCTTCCTCAGCTGTCTCCTTTGTCTCCTTGTCTTTCTCTGCTCTCCTCGTCTTCCTCCCCTCTCTCTCGCTGCTTCTCTCCTCCTCTGTCGTCTTCTCCTTCATCTCCTTCTTTCCTTCCTCAGCTGTCTCCTTTGTCTTCTCCTTCTTTCCTTCCTCAGCTGTCTCCTTGTCTTTCTCTGCTCTCCTCGTCTCCTCCTCCTGAGTCGTCTTCTCGTCCCTCTTCCTCTTCGTCCCTCTGCTCTCCTCGCTTGTCTTTCCTGCTTCTTGATTTCCTCCTGTGACATCTGACTTTCCTTCTCGTGTCCTTCCTTCACCCTCTGACCTTGTTGCTCTCCTCGTCTTCCTCCCTTCGGTGTCACCTGCTTCCTTTTCTGTTGCTTCTTCACCTTCATCCTGCTTCGTCTCCTCCTCCTCTTTCTGTCCTCCCTCAGACTCTGTCGTCCTCGACTTCTTACTGACTGTTAGGAAACAAACAAACAGTGAAAGTGTTACACAGTTTATCCTTAATGTGCGTGTGTGTGTGTGTGTGTGTGTGTGTGTGTGTGTGTGTGTGTGTGTGTGTGTGTGTGTGTGTGTGTGTGTGTGTGTGTGTGTGTGTGTGTGTGTGTGTCTGTGTGTGTGTGTGTGTGTGTGTCTGTGTGTGTGTGTGCGTGTCTGTGTGCGTGTCTGTGTGTGTGTGTGTGTGTGTGTGTGTGTGTGTGTGTGTGTGTGTGTGTGTGTGTGTGTCTGTGTGTGTGTGTGCGTGTCTGTGTGTGTGTGTGTGTGTGTGTGTGTGTGTGTGTGTGTGTGTGTGTGTGTGTGTGTCTGTGTGTGTGTGTGTGTGTGTGTGTACCTGGTGAGGTCACAGCAGTAGAAGTCATCCTCCTCTTGTTCTGCTGCTCAGCATCGACCTGATCAGAACAAACAAAAATGAAACCAGTTGAAAGTTTGCAAACCAGTTTGCCCGGTCCTCCACCTGGTCCAGGTCCTCCACCTGGTCCAGGTCCTCCACCTGGTCCAGGTCCTCCACCTGGTCCAGGTCCTCCACCTGGTCCAGGTCCTCCACCTGGTCCCCTCGTCTGTGGTTACCTTGGACTGTGCGACCCGGCTCCTCGTAGTCCTTTGAGCCTCCTCTGCAGCGTGTCTGGAGTCTGTTGTCTTCTCTGGACTTGTTGTTGTTTCAGGTGGAGATCTCTGGTCTGTACTGGTCTCAGCTGGACTCTCAGAGGCTGTGGAGGGAGTTTCAGGACTCTCTGTGTCTGCTGTCTGACGAGACCAAAACACAAACATCACCTTTCATTTATTTACAGAGGTTATGATGACGTACAGGAGGCATCAGTTCTGGACTCCACTTTAAAAACTTATCTTTCTTTGTGCACACACTAAGAGTCCACTGCACAGCTCCTACATGTCACCTTTTTTACATTTTTTAAATTCTATTTCATATTTTGTAATATCTTCTTCTTCTGTATTATTTAAGTTGTTGTTAGTTCTGTTTTATTTCCTTGTTAATTATTTAGCACCAATACACCAAGTCAGATTCCTTTATGTGTTAATGTACTTGGCAATAAACCCAGATTCTGATCCTGATTCTGATTTCACAGTTCATATATAACCTCTAACTCAACTGTTCTGTCCATACCTTTGTATTCTCTACAGAACTGTTCTCTTGGCTTCTGTCGCTCCTGGCGGCCGCTCTTCTGCTTCTCAGATTCACAGCGCCCTCTGAGCTCTTTGTGGACTCCGGGTCAGGGTTCAGAGTGGAGTCTGTGGTCTTCAGCGGAGCAGATCTCAGTGAAGCTCTTGTTGGAGTTTTAGACGCAGCAGCAGGTGTAGCTCTGTGTGCAGCTGGTTTCCTCTCAGGCTCTGCAGGTTTACTGGGAGGAGATTTAGCAGGAGAACTTCTCACACTGCTGCTTTTAACTGGAGGAGAAGTCTGTGACGGGATCTGAGGAGACGACACAATTTACAAAACTTTAAGATACACATAAAGCGATCTGAAATCCCACAAGCAGAGAGCGTGTTAACCCTTTAAACAAAGACACATGAAGCATTAGAGGACACACTGACCTTGAGTTTACTCCCAACACCCGGCGTGTTCTGGATCTCCCACATGCCCTCCGAGAAGCCTTTGATGCGCACACCGCTGCCGTACTTCATCTTGTTGCCGACGTAAGGGACAACGTTCTCTGGAGGGAGGGTACCTCTGAGGAAGGATGATAAATCGATCACAGATCAGTCGAGTCATTACAGCAGGAAGTGATGTCATTGATATTCAGCAGCATGTACGTACGTCTGATGGGTCCCGAAGTAGAAGACGGGGATCCGCTTCTTAAAGCCGGACTCAGACTTACAGACCTGAAGAGACGATTAAACATCACAAGATTACACAACTGTGTGTGTGTGTGTGTGTGTGTGTGTGTGTGTGTGTGTGTGTGTGTGTGTGTGTGTGTGTGTGTGTGTGTGTGTGTGTGTGTGTGTGTGTGTGTGCGTGCGTGCGTACCCTGGCTGGCCAGAAGGGGAAGCCCTTCATCTTGGCGAACACCAGGTCTCCTGCTTTGAACTGGTCTGTGGTTTTTCCGGGCATCCTGCTGGTTCAGAGCTCGGAGGAAGAATCTGAAAGAGATTTAAACATGTTGATTTACTTTCTCTCCATCAGTGTTTCAGAAACATGTGTTTATTCATCTGTGTTTTAAAGGTAATCACAGAACCCGATGCATTACAAATTATCCCTGCACTCATGTTCACTTCATTTGTCTGTCTACTCGCCGTTATATTGAATAGTTTCTGCTTATAATATGTCTACACTCATGCACTTTAACTTATGTCAATACTGTCCATTTACAACTCTGTTTTTGCACATTTACATTTAATCTTCCATATTTAATCTTCCTATTTACCGTAAGACTAATAATGTTTAGTTAAATCCTGGTTGTATATATTCCCATTCTTAGTTTTTATATTTTTAGTACTTATTTACTTTGTCTTTAATATTATATTGTGTTCTTTACTCATTGTGTGTTTGGACAACCTGCTGCTGTAACGCCACAATTTCCCAGTTTGGGATCGATAAAGTAATTCTATTATGCTGTTAAACTAAAACTCTTATTACAGACGATGGTTCAGTGTTCTGCAGACCCCAATTACTATTTGTTTGTTTCTACTGTTAACACATTGTAACAGTATTTAAATACCATAATGAGAGCGGATCTGTAGGAGATATTAAAATGTATTAAACTGTATCAAAGTGTCTTAAAGTGTCTTAAAGTGTATTAAAGTGTATTAAACTGTTAAACTGTATTAAACTGTATTAAACTGTATTAAAGTGTATTAAAGTGTATTAAACTGTTAAACTGTATTAAACAGTATTAAAGTGTATTAAACTGTCAAACTGTATTAAAGTGTATTAAAGTGCATTAAACTGTATTAAAGTGAATTAAACTGTTAAACTGTATTAAAGTGTATTAAAGTGTTTTAAAGTGTATTAAACTGTTAAAGTGTATTAAAGTGTATGAAACTGTTAAAGTGTATTAAAGTGTATTAAAGTGTATTAAACTGTTAAAGTGTATTAAAGTGTATTAAAGTGTATTAAAGTGAATTAAACTGTTAAACTGTATTAAAGTGTATTAAAATGTATTAAACTGTATTAAACTGTATTAAACTGTATTAAAGTGCATTAAACTGTATTAAAGTGTATTAAAGTGAATTAAACTGTTAAACTGTATTAAACAGTATTAAAGTGTATTAAACTGTATTAAAATGTATTAAAGTGTATTAAAATGCATTAAACAGTATTAAAGTGTATTAAAGTGTATTAAAATGTATTAAACTGTATTAAACTGTATTAAAGTGTATTAAACTGTATTAAAGTGTATTAAACTGTATTAAAGTGCATTAAAGTGTATTAAAGTGTATTAAAGTGAATTAAACTGTTAAACTGTATTAAACAGTATTAAAGTGTATTAAACTGTATTAAAATGTATTAAAGTGTATTAAAATGCATTAAACAGTATTAAAGTGTATTAAAGTGTATTAAAATGTATTAAACTGTATTAAAGTGTATTAAACTGTATTAAAGTGTATTAAAGTATATTAAACAGTATTAAAGTGTAGTAAGTGTATTAAACTGTATTAAACTATATTAAAGTGTATTAAAGTGTATTAAAGTGTATTAAAGTGTATTAAAGTGTATTAAAGTGTATTAAACTGTATTAAAGTGTATTAAAGTGTATTAAACTGTATTAAAGTGTATTAAAGTGTATTAAAGTGTATTAAACTGTATTAAACTGTATTAAACTGTAGTAAAGTGTATTAAAGTGTATTAAAGTGTATTAAAGTATATTAAACTGTATTAAACTGTATTAAAGTGTATTAAAGTGTATTAAAGTATATTAAACAGTATTAAAGTGTATTAAAGTGTATTAAAGTGTATTAAACAGTATTAAAGTGTATTAAACTGTATTAAACTGTATTAAAGTGTATTAAAGTGTATTAAAGTGTATTAAAGTGTATTAAACTGTATTAAAGTGTATTAAAGTGTATTAAACTGTATTAAAGTGTATTAAAGTGTATTAAAGTGTATTAAACTGTATTAAACTGTAGTAAGTGTATTAAACTGTATTAAACTGTATTAAACAGTATTAAAGTGTATTAAACAGTATTAAAGTGTATTAAACTGTATTAAAGTGTATTAAACTGTAGTAAGTGTATTAAAGTGTATTGAAGTGTATTAAAGTGTATTAAACAGTATAAAACTGTATTAAAGTGTATTAAAGTGTATTAAAGTGTATTAAAGTGTATTAAACTATATTAAAGTGTATTAAACTGTATTAAAGTGTATTAAAGTGTATTAAACTGTATTAAAGTGTATTAAAGTGTATTAAAGTGTATTAAACTGTATTAAACTGTAGTAAGTGTATTAAAGTGTATTGAAGTGTATTAAAGTGTATTAAAGTGTATTAAAGTATATTAAACTGTATTAAACTGTATTAAAGTGTATTAAAGTGTATTAAAGTATATTAAACAGTATTAAAGTGTATTAAAGTGTATTAAAGTGTATTAACAGTATTAAAGTGTATTAAAGTGTATTAAACTGTATTAAAGTGTATTGAAGTGTATTAAAGTGTATTAAACAGTATTAAAGTGTATTAAAGTGTATTAAAGTGTATTAAAGTGTATTAAACTGTATTAAACTATATTAAGTGTATTAAACTGTATTAAACTGTATTAAAGTGTATTAAAGTGTATTAAAGTATATTAAACTGTATTAAAGTGTATTAAACTGTATTAAAGTGTATTAAACAGTATTAAAGTGTATTAAACAGTATTAAACAGTATTAAACTGTATTAAAGTGTATTAAAGTGCATTAAAGTGTATTAAAGTGTATTAAACAGTATTAAAGTGTATTAAAGTGTATTAAAGTATATTAAACTGTATTAAAGTGTATTAAAGTGTATTAAAGTGTATTAAACAGTATTAAAGTGTATTAAACTGTATTAAAGTGTATTAAAGTGTATTAAACAGTATTAAAGTGTATTAAAGTGTATTAAAGTATATTAAACTGTATTAAAGTGTATTAAACTGTATTAAAGTGTATTAAACAGTATTAAAGTGTATTAAAGTGTATTAAAGTGTATTAAAGTGTATTAAAGTATATTAAACTGTATTAAACTGTAGTAAGTGTATTAAAGTGTATTAAAGTATATTAAACTGTATTAAACAGTATTAAACTGCATTAAAGTATTAAACTGCATTAAAGTGTATTAAAGTGTATTAAAGTGACTTCAGGAGCTGGATGAGTTCTTGTTTTAGGTGTTTGACTCCTTTAGTTTCCAGCTTGGAACAACCAAACTCATGCCCACAAAGTCTGCAGGAACCTGGGTGTCATAATTGATGACCAGCTAACTTTTTGGTTCAAGTAGCCTCGAATGCCCGGTCATGTGGATTTGCCCTGAACAACATCAGGAAGATCAGACCTTACCTGTCAGAACTACACAGCTCCTGGTACAGGCTCTTGTGATGTCTCTACTGGCAGGTCTTCCTACAGTCACTATCAAACCTCTGCAGATGATACAAAATGCAGCAGCACGACTGGTCTTCAACCTTCCTAAAAGAGCACATGTCACTCCTCTGTTCATCTCCTCACACTGGCTCCCAGTTACTGCTCACATCAAATTTAAAACTCTGCTGCTCGCTTACAAAACAGACACAGAAACGTCTCCTCCTTACTTTAACTCTCTGATCCAGGTCTACGCTCCCTCCCCCCCACTACGCTCTGCCAATGAAAGGCGTCTGATCCAACCTTCACAACAGGGTCCTAAGTCTCTGACTAGACTCTTCTCCTCTGTCGCCCCCCGGTGGATCTGCAGAGTCCCTCTGCTCCTTTAAGAAAAAGCTAAAGACCCAGCTCTTTCATGAATACCTACTAACTTAATGATGATGGTCTCCATATTATTGATGATGATGATGGTAATGACGATGGTTTTTGTTTGATAACGACGACTTATAAGATGGTTTCTATACTAATTAGAGCTCTCAAGAACTGCCCTCAATGTTGTGCTTTGCCTCTGGTCACTTCCTGTCAGCACCTGTGGTCACTTCCTGTCAGCACCTGTGGTCACTTCCTGTCAGCACCTGTGGTCACTTCCTGTCAGCACCTGTGGTCACTTCCTGTCAGCACCTGTGGTCACTTCCTGTCAGCACCTGTGTGTCCAGTCAGACTCACAGCTGATGGTTTGCTCACATTGTTCCTTTAGATCTCTTGTTGTTCTCACTCTCTGATGTCTGATAACTGAATTGTTTCTGATTTATAATCACAGTTCTGAATTAAACTCTTTAAATTAACGTGTCAGCAGTTTAAATAACTCCAGTCTGTCGTATTTAATCTCTCTTTAAGGTTTTAATTCTCGGTGTTTAGTCAGAATAAACAGCAGCTTCTTTTAATCAGCATGTTTCTCATTGTTTACAAATACTGAGGTGTTAGCATCGAAGCTAACCGGAGCCCGGTGTTTCATTCAGAAACGTTTAATTTAGCGGGACAGCAGAGAGGGTACTCACCAACAGAGAGAGTGGGGGGGGGGTCTCCTCTTTAAAACGTGCCTGACTGTTTCTCACGGCCTCCGTCTGTTAACGTGAGGCGTCTCGTAACTGAGCTACACTCTTCTGCTCGCCGCCATGTTGGCCGTTTAGTTCGTGTCACGTGACGTTCGGCGCTTTCCGTTTCCCGCCCACCGCCGGACTGTACCACTTCAGGGGGGGGGGGAGACCACCACCGGACTGTACCACTTCAGGGGGGGGAGAGAGAGAGAGAGAGAGAGAGAGAGAGACCACCGCCGGACTGTACCACTTCAGGGGGGGGGCCACCGCAGGACTGTATCACTTCAGGGGGGGGGGGGCCACCGCAGGACTGTATCACTTCAGGGGGGGGGGCCACCGCAGGACTGTATCACTTCAGGGGGGGGGGGGGCACCGCAGGACTGTACCACTTCAGGGGGGGACCACTGCAGGACTGTACCACTTCAGGGGGGGGAGAGAGAGAGAGAGAGAGAGACCACCACCGGACTGTACCACTTCAGGGGGGGGAGACCACCGCAGGACTGTACCACTTCAGGGGGGACCACTGCAGGACTGTACCACTTCAGGGGCGGGGAGACCACCACCGGACTGTACCACTTCGGGGGGGGGGGGGGGACCACCGCAGGATGTACCACTTCAGGGGGGGGGGGCCACCGCAGGACTGTATCACTTCAGGGGGGGGGGGCCACCGCAGACTGTACCACTTCAGGGGGGGGGGCCACCGCAGGACTGTACCACTTCAGGGGGGGACCACTGCAGGACTGTACCACTTCAGGGGGGGAGAGAGAGAGAGAGAGAGAGACCACCACCGGACTGTACCACTTCAGGGGGGGAGACCACCGCAGGACTGTACCACTTCAGGGGGGGGGGGGGCCACCGCAGGACTGTACCACTTCAGGGGGGGGGGCCACCGCAGGACTGTACCACTTCGGGGGGGGGGGGACCACCACAGGACTGTACCACTTCTGGGTTGGAAAGCGGGAAAAAGCCAAGTTGAGCTTGTTTAAAGTGTTAATAATAGTCTCAAAAGCTTCTCGTGTGGTGATTGGGTTAGGGTTCCCTGTCCCTGTTCTCTACCTGGACTCTCATGTTTCGTGTGTATTGCTCAAGTGGGAACCTCTGCTGTAGAAAAATCTGAGTTCAAAACCTGCAGTTCCTGGAGTGTCCACTAGAGGCTAGGTTCAGAAGCACAGGACGTCACATACACACCCATTTAAAAAAAGCCTGTTTTTACAGAGGACATAAATGTGTGAGCTTCGACTTTAGGGGGGGGGACAGCTCTCTACAATGTTTTTATTTGGACTGCAGTACCCATTTTAAACACTAGGTTTCAGAGTTACACATTCCTCCTTTAATGTCAGTTGCACTTTTTCACAAATTTCTACATCAGACATAAACTGACACCACAAGCAATGCTTTACCCACAGCCAGATATCGTTGGGAGTTTAACACAATACTCTTAGTACAGATACTAAAAGAATCCTTAGTTTGTAATGTAATAGAAAAGAATAAACTGGGTTTGGCAGCCATACTCTGACTTTGCTGTAATAACACGGCCCTTAATGCCATCATCTCTGTGACATTATCATCATCCTAACATTCCCTCTTTCAAACACAGTCGTCTCATTTCTTTATTTTCCAGCTCACAGTTCTCGTTGAAGTGACGCACTGAGGATGATCAGAGCCTGCTTCTGTACTGCACACATTGTGATGTACATCTCATCTCAGTTCACTTTCTTTCTTTAATCACTTCCACTGTCGCTGTCGCTGTCGTCCTCGTCCTCCTCTTCCTCTTCCTTCTTTTCCGTTTCCTCTACAAGTCCTGAGAAGAAGTCGTTCTCTCCGTGAGCCTTCTTGGTCAGAGACTTCATCCGGCCTCCTTTCTTCTTCCTCTTGCGGTACTCGTCGACCGTCTGGTTGGGTAAACCTGAAATGTCCCAGAACTTGATGAGCTGGTCGTGGGCGCTGCTGGCCAGGAAGCGCGTGTCCCAGGACTTGGCGAGCTCTTCGATGGGTTCCCCGATGTGCTGCCCGATGCAGCCTAAGACCCGGTTAGGAAGGACGTTGATGGCTCTGAAAGAAGACGGACACATTTAGAGTCACATTAAAACACCACAGACACTTCAGTAAGAAGCACTGATCCCAGAGTGGTGGCACAACGTGAAGTGTAGATTTAGTTTAGTACTGATCGGAGGAGGAATCCTTCCTGCATCTTATCCAACCTCCCACTACCCCCCGAGAGTCCGGTTTTTACCTGCTCTTCGGTAAAGAGTCTCCAGATTACACTTGTTAAGAATCAGTGCTACACAAATAAAGAGTGATTGATGGTGGAATCAGGAATCCCTTCAGTGTTCAGACAAACACATTGGACCGTTGAGAAGTGGTAACATCATAGGAACACTTTAATAGAGTATCAAAACATTGGATCTGCCAATGACAGGATCTGATTGGACCATTTGAAGACCACATCAGACCGTTAAAAGAGCTACATTCTTCAAAGAAGTACTGGAAGTTACCAGCTTCGCTCGCAGGATTCACACCTTCTAACATCCCTAAAGCTTGTACTGAATTAGGAAAAAGGGCGTTCAAGTAGGCTCCTCCCTCTTCTTGGAATCGGTTGCTAAGATACTTTAAATCTTCAGGAGCTGGTTTCTTTGAATGTTTTTAAAGGACGTCTTAATGATCTGACTGTAGATGTTTTAACTCGTGTTGAACCTTTTTGATCTCTTTGTTGCTGATGACAGATCCTGATGAATGCTTCTGTTTGTGATTTATGTGTTTTATGTGTGAAACTCTGTAACTGTGCTGCTGTGAATGATTGAACACATTTCAATCATCTATAGAAGGTGTTAGAACAGATAAACCACTTTGGACATTTCAACACAAACTGAAGGTACATCATCTAAAGGCCTGAGTGCTGACCTCTAATAATCTGTTTGACACTTTGACATCTAAAGAGATCACATGACCAGACTCACCGGATGTACCCGTCCATGGAGGCGGTGCACATGATGTCGTCTGTAATGGGAGCGATGCATTCGATGGACTCGGCCTTGATGGCGAAGCGGTCGCTGGTGGCTCCGAAGCCGTTCCAGTTGAAGATGTAGACGGTCCCCTCGCTGGAGCCGCACACCACCTTCCTGCCTCGCTTCATTATGGTCACCGAGGTCAGGTCGCCGCTCTGAAACTCCGACAGCAGCTCGAACCTCCGCCTCTTGATGTTGAAGACGCCCATGGTGCCATCGCCGCTGAGGAGACAGAAATCCAGTTCAGACTTCAAAGTTACACTCAGGATCCCTCCGTCCTTTATGATGTTTACCTGGCGGTGAGGAGGATCCTCTTGGCCTGGTCCACGGCGATGTCACTGATGTAATCCTCATGTTGTTTGAGGTCCATGAAGGCCGTCCCCCTCCTCATGTCCCACACCTTCAAACACAAAACAGACAAAAAATAAACAGTTAGAAAAGTCTGATTTCCTGACGTGGAGAACGCCGTCTGTCTGGACCTTTATTCTAACAGGAAGTGGCTTTACGTGAACGAGGTGACGCCCACTGAGCGTTTATTAATATGACATCACACCGCCATCTACGCCATAGTTTGACTCCCATCTGTTAACATGGAGGAGGCGGAGCTTACGACCTATACTGCGAGCAGTCAGCAAGGGGAGCTCTCAATCTTTTGGCTTCACTCCCAGGCTCTGTTTCCTCGTCGTCCATATTGATATACAGTCTATGGCAGGGGTGGGCAACTGGCGGCCCCTCAACATGGCCCTCAGGTCAATTTTTACACATCAATGAATTGAGAACATGAAGAAAACATGAACCTGCCATGAAATCATGAAAAGCAGAAACATGTCCAGAATAATATTTGATCTCTGGAACATGTTGAGTTCAACAGTCAGAGTTAACTGAGTGTGGCCCCCTGCTGTGGCCCCCTGGCAGTCAGAGTTAACTGAGTGTGGCCCCCTGCTGTGGCCCCCTGGCAGTCAGAGTTAACTGAGTGTGGCCCCCTGGCAGTCAGAGTTAAATGAGTGTGGCCCTCTGGCAGTCAGAGTTAAATGAGTGTGGCCCCCTGGCAGTCAGAGTTAACTCAGAGTTAAATGAGTGTGGCCCCCTGGCAGTCAGAGTTAACTGAGTGTGGCCCCCTGGCAGTCAGAGTTAACTCAGAGTTAACTGAGTGTGGCCCCCTGCTGTGGCCCTCTGGCAGTCAGAGTTAACTCAGAGTTAACTGAGTGTGGCCCCCTGGCAGTCAGAGTTAACTGAGTGTGGCCCCCTGGCAGTCAGAGTTAACTGAGTGTGGCCCCTGGCAGTCAGAGTTAAATGAGTGTGGCCCTCTGGCAGTCAGAGTTAAATGAGTGTGGCCCCCTGGCAGTCAGAGTTAAATGAGTGTGGCCCTCTGGCAGTCAGAGTTAAATGAGTGTGGCCCCCTGGCAGTCAGAGTTAACTCAGAGTTAAATGAGTGTGGCCCCCTGGCAGTCAGAGTTAACTGAGTGTGGCCCCCTGGCAGTCAGAGTTAACTGAGTGTGGCCCTCTGGCAGTCAGAGTTAACTCAGAGTTAACTGAGTGTGGCCCCTGCTGTGGCCCTCTGGCAGTCAGAGTTAACTCAGAGTTAACTGAGTGTGGCCCCCTGGCAGTCAGAGTTAAATGAGTGTGGCCCCCTGGCAGTCAGAGTTAACTGAGTGTGGCCCCCTGGCAGTCAGAGTTAACTGAGTGTGGCCCCCTGGCAGTCAGAGTTAAATGAGTGTGGCCCCCTGGCAGTCAGAGTTAAATGAGTGTGGCCCCCTGGCAGTCAGAGTTAACTGAGTGTGGCCCCCTGGCAGTCAGAGTTAACTTTGTGTTCTCATCATAAAGAGTCGGTCCGGACCTTCAGGGTACCCTGGTCGTCTCCGGTCGCCAGTATGTTTTCATCCACCAGTAGCAGACTGTTGATGGGAGCGTCGTGGGCCCCCCGGATCCTGGTCACCAGCTGACCCCGCTCCGGGTCCAGCATGTGGACTGCTTTGTCCCGGGACACACTGTAGAGTTTGAGTCCGTCTGAGGAGAAGCGGACCTGTCGGCAGGACTTCATGTGGTGTCCGGATGACCACAGCTCCTTGTTGCCCCCCTCCGTGCACGAGTACGAGAAGGCGTACACGTCCCCGTCCACGTCCCCGCACACCAGGACGTCCCGGCTCGGGTGGAGAGCCACCGTGTTGGCGATCGCCTCCAGCTTGATGTCCTCCGGGGTCTCACGGATCCTCGGCCCGGGAGGCTCGTCTTCATCCTCATCCGGGTCTGGTTCCTGACCTGCCGGTTCTGGATCTGACGTCTCCTGGACTCTGGTGGTTTCTGGAGGATCTGTCACTGTGGAGTCAGTTTCAACGTGTTCTGAGGACGCTGCCATATTGTTTTCTTTCTGTCTTCTTCTACGCTCAGTTAAAACTGAACACACCGCCCTCTACTGGACGTTCATAAAATCACAATACATATTCAATAAAAACTTTCTTTAGTTTTGAATTCAAATGAATAAAAATGATGTATTAATAAATGTATTTTTATATTTTAGATAAATTATTTCAGTTTCTGCCGTTTTATGACAACATGAGCATCATCATTGGCTAGTTGTTCAGCCAATCCAGTGCGAATGCGGAAATGACGTAGGGACGCTAAAGATGGCGTCAGATTCAAACGGCTCGAAGGTAAATGTTTCTGTCCGTGTTAATAAGAAGTTTATTCCACTTTATCTTCATCTTTTCTTCACAAGTTGTTTTTTTTATTAACTACTTTTGTTTGTAGTTAATAAAGACATTAAAGTTTGAGTTTTAACCGTTAAACGGGCTTTGTTTGGGTTTATGTTTCCTCTCTTAATGTTTCAGGTGTGTTCATAACAAACACATATTTATTACGTTTATTAAATCTCTGCTGTCTTCTGGTTCATTCGGTGTATGATAGATAAACCAGGAACCAGATTAAATATGAAAATCTCACCTGTGAAATGTTCCTCACCTATTAAAGGGTGCGCCGGTCTCTTTGATCTTTAACACTGCTGCCGATCCGTTCAGAGGATTCTGAAAGTCTTTAAACCCGGATTCTGTCGTTTAAAGTCTTTAAACCCGGATTCTGTCGTTTAAAGTCTTTAAACCCGGATTATGTCGTTTAAAGTCTTTAAACCCGGATTCTGTAGTTTAAAGTCTTTAAACCCGGATTCTGTCGTTTCAAGTCTTTAAACCCGGATTCTGTAGTTTAAAGTCTCTTTAAACCCGGATTCTGTCGTTTAAAGTCTTTAAACCCGGATTATGCTGTTTAAAGTCTCTTTAAACCCGGATTCTGTCGTTTAAAGTCTTTAAACCCGGATTATGCTGTTTAAAGTCTCTTTAAACCCGGATTCTGTTGTTTAAAGTCTTTAAACCCGGATTCTGTCGTTTAAAGTCTTTAAACCCGGATTCTGTCGTTTAAAGTCTTAAAACCCGGATTCTGTCGTTTAAAGTCTTTAAACCCGGATTCTGTCGTTTAAAGTCTTTAAACCCGGATTATGTCGTCTAAAGTCTTTAAACTCGGATTCTGTCGTTTAAAGTCTTTAAACCCGGATTCTGTCGTCTAAAGTCTTTAAACCCGGATTCTGTCGTTTAAAGTCTTTAAACCCGGATTATGCTGTTTAAAGTCTTTAAACCCGGATTCTGTTGTTTAAAGTCTTTAAACCCGGATTCTGTCGTCTAAAGTCTTTAAACCCGGATTCTGTCGTTTAAAGTCTTTAAACCCGGATTCTGTCGTCTAAAGTCTTTAAACCCGGATTCTGTCGTTTAAAGTCTTTAAACCCGGATTATCTGTTTAAAGTCTTTAAACCCGGATTCTGTTGTTTAAAGTCTTTAAACCCGGATTCTGTCGTCTAAAGTCTTTAAACCCGGATTCTGTCGTTAAAGTCTTTAAACCCGGATTCTGTCGTTTAAAGTCTTTAAACCGGATTCTGTCGTTTAAAGTCTTTAAACCCGGATTATGCTGTTTAAAGTCTTTAAACTCGGATTATGCTGTTTAAAGTCTTTAAACCCGGATTATGCTGTTTAAAGTCTTTAAACCCGGATTATGTCGTCTAAAGTCTTTAAACCCGGATTCTGTCGTTTAAAGTCTTTAAACCCGGATTCTGTCGTCTAAAGTCTTTAAACCCGGATTCTGTCGTTTAAAGTCTTTAAACCCGGATTCTGCTGTTTAAAGTCTTTAAACCCGGATTCTGTTGTTTAAAGTCTTTAAACCCGGATTCTGTCGTCTAAAGTCTTTAAACCCGGATTCTGTCGTTAAAGTCTTTAAACCCGGATTATGTCGTCTAAAGTCTTTAAACCCGGATTCTGTCGTTTAAAGTCTTTAAACCCGGATTCTGTCGTTTAAAGTCTTTAAACCCGGATTCTGTCGTCTAAAGTCTTTAAACCCGGATTCTGTCGTTAAAAGTCTTTAAACCCGGATTATGTCGTCTAAAGTCTTTAAACTCGGATTCTGTCGTTTAAAGTCTTTAAACCCGGATTATGTCGTTAAAAGTCTTTAAACCCGGATTCTGTCGTTAAAAGTCTTTAAACCCGGATTATGTCGTCTAAAGTCTTTAAACTCGGATTCAGTCGTTTAAAGTCTTTAAACCCGGATTCTGTCGTCTAAAGTCTTTAAACCCGGATTCTGTCGTCTAAAGTCTTTAAACCCGGATTATGTCGTTTAAAGTCTTTAAACCCGGATTCTGTCGTTAAAAGTCTTTAAACCCGGATTATGTCGTCTAAAGTCTTTAAACTCGGATTCTGTCGTTTAAAGTCTTCAAAACAACCAGAGTTTTTTGTGGCTCAGTCGTTTTGGTTTAATAATAATGTAAAGCTGTGATGATAAAACTGTTTTTTCAGGGTTGATAGAGTCATCAGCGGAGCCATGCAGACAGAACCAGCGAGGCAGCGTGACTGGGTCAGACGGGGGGAGAATGGGCAGAGCCGAGCGGAGCCGCAGGGGACCCAGCAGAGAGCTGAGAGGAACTCCAAGGAGGAGAAAGCAAGGTACACCAGAACTTTACCTGAACATAACTACTCTCGACAGGTGCATTTATTTAAATATTTATTTGGGCTTCATGCTTTTATTTGTTAGTTTGTCATTTCATGTCAGTCAGTCATCTTCTGTGGATTCATTATTTTAAAACTTTCTACCATGTAAGAGAGTTCTTCTTTTAGTTCTGTGTGTATAACAGTTTGTGTACATTAAAAAATGTATTTGTGTGTATTATTAGGGTCACATGACTTCAGGGGTCGATGTCGTTAGATTTTTACTCGACTTTTATCACAGATCTTATTGAACCGAGCTGATGTCTTCAGGGAGAAGTTTGTTTGTGTTCCAGATGAAGTCACAAATCTTCTCAGCAGCTCATCAGCTGTTCTGTGGTCACTTATTCCTCCACAGGCTGAAAGAGACGATCAGCATCCTGCAGACAGCGAGAGAGAAACCAGCAGGAGAGAGAGCGAGAAGGAGAACTGAAGGGGAAGATGAGGAGGCAGGAGGAGAGCCTGGAGGGAGGAGAGACAGGAGCCGAGGAGATGGAGGGAGGGGGAGGGAGGCGAGGAGCAGGGGGGCGGAGTCAGAAGGAGGTGACGGGGGGAAGCCGTCTGAGAGTGTGAGGAGGAGAGTTCAACGGCTGGAGAGAGAAAAGCTGGAGCTGACGTCGAGCCACAACCAGGAGGTGAGAAACAAATGTCCTTTTAGTTTGAACAGAATATTTCACATCATTAAAATCAGCTGAAATCTTTAGAATCAACATTTACAGACGTGAGGGGATGCTTTGAATCAGAGATATTAAATTATGTTATTTTACCCAGAGATAGCTCATCTCTCTAAACACACAATCATAATAAATTGAAAAGTTATCTAAAAGGAGCAGTAACTCTGACCCCTAGTGTTTAAAATGGGTACTGCAGTCTAAATTCTAAACAGAGTAGAGAGCTGTCTGAATCCTGTTGTTTGTTTTCTGTCCCTCATCAGATGTGTCAGCTGCAGGCGGAGCTGACCCGGCTCAGGTCGTCTGTGGAGCGAGGAGAGGCTCAGCGGGTGGAGCTTCAGTACCAGCTGACCGTGAGTCAAAGAGACGCTGACAGAACCTCGCAGCTCAGCAGGGACAACCACACACTCACAGGTGAACAAATCAAACACACAGTCACAGGTAAACAAATCAAACACACACTCACAGGTGAACAAATCAAACACACAGTCACAGGTAAACAAATCAAACACACAGTCACAGGTAAACAAATCAAACACACACTCACAGGTGAACAAATCAAACACACACTCACAGGTGAACAAATCAAACACACAGGTAAACAAATCAAACACACACTCACAGGTGAACAAATCAAACACACACTCACAGGTGAACAAATCAAACACACACTCACAGGTAAACAAATCAAACACACAGGTAAACAAATCAAACACACAGGTAAACAAATCAACACACAGGTAAACAAATCAAACACACACTCACAGGTAAACAAATCAAACACACACTCACAGGTAACAAATCAAACACACACTCACAGGTAAACAAATCAAACACACACTCACAGGTAAACAAATCAAACACACACTCACAGGTAAACAAATCAAACACACACTCACAGGTAAACA